CTAAACCAATTTAATCCTGTATGGGAAGGAACCCATGGAGCACTAAGTAGATGAGTAGTTCCTTCAGCTCTCACAAGAATACAAATCTTAGCAACTGTTACATAAACATTCATTTATAACATGTTCTGGAATTTGGAATCAAATAAATATGTAATAAAAACATTTTCATTTTAATTATTTAACATACTAGTTATAAATAAATATATGCAAACCTTGATTAACTTTCAATCAAAGTGTAACTGAATTTTTATCTTATTTTGTTTGATCTTATTTTAAATAAGAACCTTAATATAATCAGCATCTTTGTTGATGTTATTTTTCAATCAAAAAGCATAAGTATAAGAAAGAGATCTCCAGCTGTAGTGACAGCTGGGGATCTCTTAGGGAAAGCTTAATTAGGGTTACTAATATTTTATGAGCTGTTGTATCCATGCCTATAGCTATTCTTAGTCTCTTCAATCATCTTTATGTTGACAGCAATAGTTTATTTGGGCTTGTCAAAATTTCTTAGTGAAAGTGCCTGTAATTAGTTTCTATTAGAACTAAGTACATTCATTTATAACATGTCTAGTACTTGGTTCTAAAAAAAATATTTCAGATAGATGTGCAACTATAGTAACACAAATCATTTTCTGAGTTGGACTGTGTACTTGGTTTTAGAGAAAATATTCCTGATGGATGTACAACATCAGTAACGCACACTTTAGTACCTCTTGAATGATTAAATAAACTTTCACAAAGTCTAAACCCATTTATTTCTTCTTTGTTTAATAAAAGATAGTCTCGAGAAGGCTTATCGTGGTTAAAACCTTCTTTCAACTCTTTAACTCCTAAACACAAACCTTTATAAACAAGGCCTCTGTGCAGAAAAAAAAGTTTGTTTATTTGAATTTCTAGTTCAACGTTTAGTTGAAACTTCAGTCACTACCATCCTTTTTCTCTAGCCTACTTTTTCCCATTTCTCATTTACATTTTAAATTAAATAAAATAATACTTATAAATTTAAAATAAATCAATACATAAAGATTTCACATGAAATATTTTTTCCTCTTACAGTTTGAAATTTTTTTTTTTAAATAATTTGAAAAACTCTTGTTATAAATTATTAAATAACAATATATAAAATATATTTTAAATTAAGTTAAAGTAGAAAACAAACTATTTTTCAACACCATTTAACAAAAAACTTTAAAGAGACCAAATAAAAAAATAAATAAAAAAAATCTAAATTTACCCAAAAAACCCACTGAACCAAAGTTTTTTTAAAAAACCACAGGTTTTTCCCAACCCTGCTTTAAGTCTTTATAAATTCAGTGCAAGATTGTCCACATCCTGCCTTACTATTGAGCTGGTTCTTCTTGAGTTTTAAATATCTTTAATATATTTTGCTGTATTTCTTTGCAGTGTGACAGGCCCAATAATTGAAAAACCAGATCTTAGCAACAAAGTACACCTAATAGTACCAAAGTGACAGATCCAAAATTTTTTGGTGTTTGAGATTAGTTAACTTCCAGACATGGAGCAATCCCTAAATTTTTGTATGGTTATACTTATGTCAAATAATAATGCTTTGTAAAAATATTGTGACTGTTACAGACTGAGAACAAGGCCCTTCGACTTCAAATGCAAGAGGCAACAAGTTGATAAATTTTTTTTTTTACTTTTCTCAGCTAGACTTATATTTATTAATAGATTTTAAGTTCATAGTAGTAACAGTAAAATTATTACTATTGAAAACTATTACTAGTATGAAAATTATTACTATTAAAATTAATAATATTTATAAATTAAATATATAATAATTAAATTAATAAATTAATAAAAATTTATTTATAAAAATTAAAGTTTATTTTACTAATAACACTTTACTAATAATTTTGTATGTTAAAAAATTACATAAAAAACTTTTGAAGAAATTTTTAGCAAAAAAATACACTTTTCAGAAAATTTATACCAACAAATATAATTTTTTATGAAACTTTATATAAAACTAAATTGGTTTCTTAATGCAGTTAAAATGTTAAATAAAAATGGTTCTTTGTAGGTATAGGATCAGTTTGAACTAACTAAATTAAAAACTATAAATTGAAATTGAAAATGTTGCAAAGCGGACAAGATATACGATACTTATTTTGAGCACTGGGACCCATTCTTTTTATTAGATACAGAAAAAGCTTGCTCGCTACTAGAAAGACATCTTAACTGGTTTACCCACCAAAAAATGTTCCTTGGTACAAGCACTTACCCTTCTTCTCTTAACAAAATTCTTATACATTTTAGAATTTTTAAACTATAAAAAAACCTGTCACAAATCTTCATTTTAAAAAAATTGCATTAAATACATTAAAAAAACTAATTTAACACTGTTATTAGTTATTAATTATATTAACTAAATATAAATTTTACAAATATTTTTCAAATAAAAATCAAGTATAAAAATAACTTTAAACTATATTAAATGAAAACTGCAAATAAAGATTTTAATGTATAAAAAAAATGAAATTAATAAATATGTTGTCAGTAAGTGTTAAAAACCATGTTATAACTTCTTTATGTGCCATATACAATATTTATCAGTTTTTGATTGTCTTGCATTTTAAAATGTGACTTTCAAAGCCCCCTCAATTTGAGGGGGTTACAAATTTTATATGGTCATTAAAATTGAACGCTGAGAGATAATACTATAAAATTTAATGATGAATATAAGTCTAATTGAGAATGGTACAAAAAAAGTTTTAAACTTATTGCCCCTCACATTTGGGGTGGGGTAGAGTGGCAATTATCCTTAATAAATATCTGATCTTCTGCTTATTTCTCGCATTGTTGAAATAACAACAAAATAATGTGATTTTATTGTTTGTAAACTAAGTTTATAAAAAGATTAAATTAAACTTTTAGCTAATTTGTATAAAAGCTAATAGTCTAAAGATTAAAATAAGCTGAAAAGTTTTGAGTCTGGCCAAAAGAGGGCTTTCTTATTACATCCATAAATTACTTGACGCAAAATTCAACAATAAACAAAACAAAAAAAAATTAAAAGTTTACCCTCTCAGAGTCTTAATTTAAATAATTAATCAAAATAGGAAACTAAGTTAAATAAAAACCGCAGCATAAAAGAGCTTTATTCTTCTGTTCTTATAATATTTTTTGCGTTGCATAATTTAAAGACGATCCCTTAACTTACATTACATGGAGAACAAAGTAAAAAAATTGCTTCAACTTTTAGGTCAGATTTTTAGTTTTCCCTTAGATTTTTTTGTAAACTAATTGAATACAAGTGTTGATATCAAATTAATTTAAATTTATATTTTTGTTTTGTTTTGACTTCTTTAATATCCTAAAGATATATAGAAATATACTAAAGAAATATACTGAAATAGTTTTCTAAATAAATATTGATTGAAAATTGGAAAAAAACAAAAAGATTGTTGCATCTAACAAAAAGTTAAATTTGAAAACACCTAATTTACTCACTCCTTTTTCTTAGAGAGAGAAACTCTCATAAGAAAAACTTGCTACGTGAAGTAATTTTTTTTTTTAAATTTAAGTAAAACTATTTTGAAAATATTTTGAACTGTTTCATTTCTTGAGCAGATAAAGAAACATTTATATCCGGTATCTTGATGTGAAACTACCTGAGATTCTGCATGTTTCTGGCGTTGTAACAAGGTGATCCCATAAAGCTAGGGTGTTTTTTTTTTCAAGTATTATTTAGACATAGTAAACTAACAAATAAGTCTTATACATGTTTGTATGCATCTTAGATCTCCAGAAAAATAAAATTTTGTGAAAAGTTACAAATTTATTAAAAATTTGGTTGGGAATAGCCAAGATGAAAAATATTTTTTAGAAAAACCAAAGTTTTTATTTTGAAATCACTCATGATTAGACATCTTACACATCTTTTGAGCTTTCATAGATGTTCTAAATAAAATATATTGTAAAATAAGAATACACCTAAAATATAAATAAAGAATTGTGCAAACAACATTTGCATTTCGAGATTAAGTTTGGTTTCCTAAGGAAAAATCATTCAATAAATTCTAAATCTAAAAACATATAGCTTAAAATACCTGAAATACCTAAAAAGAACTAAAACTTCATTACAACCTGCAGCATATATAAATTAAGTAGCAGCAAGGTGAAAAATCAAAATTTAATTTTGAAATCACTTATGCTTACACATTTATTTATACATACATACACATTTACTTATTCATACATTCATTTATGCATACATATTTTAAAAAAATATTTTGTTAGAATATGATGCAACCTAATATATTTAAATATATATAAAAAGACTTGTCCAAACAACTTATGCTTTTAAATTTGTTTCGTTTCCTAAATAAAAGTCTGTCAATCAACTCAAAATTAAGAAAAATCTAGTTCAAAATACTCTTTTATTTATGTGATTATAGTCATTTTTAGATTTAAATTTTTTCAGAAAAATTTTTAATAAACTTTAAATTAAAAAATATATAGCACAAAATACTTAAGAAAAAAATTTAAAAATGACTACAACCACATCGTCATCATCAGCATAATCACATCATCAATGCTCACATTTGAATAAATTTACCTCTTATCAAATCTGGTATATATAACTGCCATATTTTTGTATTCTAATATAAATTTATATACAACTTAATTAAAAATATTTGTTTAAATTTTCTTTAAACAATTGAAAATGTTGTTAAACGTACAAAATATAAAAATAGAAAGTGTATCATTTAAAAAACAAAAGGTTTAAACCAACTGATTTTTTTTTATTTTAAATTAAGTCAAATAATAAAATTATAAAATGAGAAAAAATCTTTCAAATTTAAACAAACAAATCTTTATTATTATTTATTAAAAAATATTTAATTGATCAATATAAAAAAATTACTTATTCAAATAAAAACAAAGTAAAAATAACTATACTTTTATATTTTATTGAACACCTGTAAGATTAACAAAAATGACTCACAATAATACCACAAAAATTTTGAACTCACCCAAAATAGAATACAAAAGGATAGGTTTTCCATAGGACTTTTTCAAAGGATTCAAGTTAACAAGAAACTTTATAAAACTATTTTGACTAGAATTAGATAATCCACAAATCATTGATAAACAACTCTCCAGCTTTTTATTAGTCATAATTTCATCACTACTTAAACAATTATATGCATATACAGATGCACAAAACTCCATTATTGTCAAGTGAGCAAACTGATAATAACAACCCAGATCTGTTTCAATCTTTTCTATAAATCCAAAAAAATTACCTTCATTTTTATCGAAGTCATTAACAAAAGTTTGAAACTCTTCTTTAGAAAAAATTACTTTATTTTCAACAAGTAGTTCAAATGCAATTTTACAAATATTTAAAATATATTTTTTATTAGAATCGTTTTCCATTATCTGATAAATCATTTTATTGTTTTTAATGATGTGTTTTTGCAAAAAATATAAAAAAATATTTGCATACAGATCTGTCATTGTTAAGAAAGAATTTTTGTTTATTGTTTTTGAATTACTTATAATTTTACACATGGAAGATAAATAAAAAGGAACTGATGCCATAGCTTTAGCAATTGGAGATTCATTCAAAGTTGCTTTTACAATTTCTTTATTTTCTTCCATAACATGACTTTCTACATAGTTTGTTATTCCATTTTCGTTAAACCCCATTATTTGAATGGTTAACTTATCACTACGATCTGTATATAAACTTTGATATTGATCTATTGCATAAACTCTACCAGCAACTAAATGTTTATAATTTTGAATTTCTGCTAAAACATTAACAATTGGATAGTTACATTTTAATTCCGGATTTGATAACTCATTAAAAAATTTAAACTCATCTAACCCATCAATAATAAAAAGTGTTGTATGAATACTAATATTGAAGTTACTTGTAATATCTTTGTAAAAAACGCTTATTAAATCATTAATATTAGAAATATTTTTATATTGATTAATCCTCCTGCATTCAAAATAAAAAACAAGTTCAATATTTTTCCAAATTAAATCATTTGACCAATCAAGCAAACATTTTCTAAGCAACCATGTTTTCCCAATACCAGCTATTCCAGATATTAATATTACAGATTTTTCTTGCATAAACACTTTACTGTATGAAATTGGTGTATAACTCATTTGCTTTTTGAGAAATTCCTTTCGTTCAACACTAAAAACAGCATCCATTTGTGGCTTCGCTGCATCAACAATACATAGATCAACAAACTTATTCATTAGATCAACATTTGCAGGTGCTTTTAATAGTGGTTGAAGTTCACTAATTTTTCCATAATATTTAAGATAATATTGTTTTAGTTCAGCAGACAACTTTGACAAATCTAAATAAAAAAACTATTAGTCAAACCATCATCATAATTTCGCTAATGTTCATGATCATGACGATGATGATCATTATTACTATAATTTATATAGATAGAATAATTATATATTACTATAACTTAAATATTATATTGTATATTATATTACTATAATTTTTATATAGACATAAAATAGCTAAAACGATGTACTTGAAATAAAATTTTATATAAACTTAATGAATCTAAATAATTCTTGTTTATCTAATTTTTATTGATTTAAGAATGAGATACTTAAGTTTAAATTTATTATATTTAACAAACATTTTTATTTGTTTTTATAACTGAATAGGTTTTTACTCTAAGTTAAAGGTATTACTTCAAACAAACTCTTCAATTGATTCTCAAAAACCTCTAAAAAGTAACAAAGTTAAACAACTTAACAAAGTTAACAAACCTTTTTTTTTGAAGTCTTTTAAAAACAATAGTGTGGAAGAATAATGTAAAAGAAAAGTACTAAAGTTTTCAACATAAAAAGTTTTTAACATAAAAATTCTAGTGAGTAAATAACTAAAATCATTTATACGAATTTGATTTTTAATGATAGTAATTAAAATTAAAATTACATAAAAAATTTATAAAAAGAATTTTATAAAATTTTTTTGTCATTTTCTTGAAAATTTCCAAAATTTAAATCAAACTTATCATCCTACCTTAATTGACATCAATAAATTTAATGAGCTAAAGGTTATTTACTATTCAAAATAATACAAAAACATAAATAATATATACAATATTTAGTTTTCTCTGTTTAGCTAGTGCTCTCGCCCTTAAGCCTTTTCGAGCTCGCCCACACGCCCGCAAAAATTTTAACAAGCGCATGAAAAAGCGCTAGCCAAAAAACTAAAAGCGTTTTGTTTTAAATTGCAACAAAACTTTTCTGCTCATTTGTACAACTTTTACGTAAAATGGCTTTTTTTGACAGTTTTTTTTTTATTTATTTTATTTTGTAATTATTCACAACACTCTGTTTGCTACTTCTATTTTATTTTAATAGTATTTATAAATGAATTTTTTAAATCGCGCAGGTTAACTTAAAATTTATTCATCCTGTCAATGCTAATTTGTGAGCTAAAAATAAAATTCAAACAGTAAAGACTGTATGTTATATATGAAACTTGCAGGTAAGGTATCTTAATATAAAATTAGAAATAAATTACTTCAGTATTATTAATTTAATGTTAAAAGTTTTACTTAAAGTTGTTAGTTCAAACAAATTTCTCAGTTAAAATTGATTGCAAATTATTTAAAATTAAAATGTGGCTTTAGCAACTTTTAAGTTCCATGTTATTGTGGCTTTATATTGATCTTCCCTAACAACACTTAAAAAGATCAAACAAGAAATCAATAATGAACATTGTTCTTTTGAATAGACCTCTGCAAAACATTGAAATGTTTTAAAAGAAGTTTTATGTGAAGATGATTTCTTTTATAAAGCCTGCAGAGATAAAAAAAAGTTGCATACCTAAAAGTTGGAGTTAATGAGAAGTCTCATGAAGTTGTAAGCATTCTCAAAAAAAAAAACTGTCAAAGGATACTAATCTTCTTTGCCTATGAAAAGAAAATAACATTTGATTTCTTCATTTGTCTAAAGTTGTTTGTGCTGTGCTCTCATTTTTAGTTTCTTCTGCAGGAACTAATAAATAATATCCAACTAATAAGCTTGTCAGCTGTACATCAATGACAACAGCAGTTAATTTCAACTTTGTTAAGACTTACAACTTAAGTTAGGTAAGGGAATAAAGTGTTCCTGTTATTAAAAGTAAGGACTCCTCTGCAGCTTTAAGTCTGGACAGCATTGTGAATGATTTTAAAGATTCAACTTAACTCATTTAGAACATGTACATTTATTTTACACAAAGTTCATGATGTTTGATAGCTGAAGGAGAATCAGAATGAGAAGAAGCTAAAGTATAGCTACTAACTTTTAAATAATAATAATTTTTATGTTATTCTGTTTTTTTTAGAACTGAATAATAGCATTATAAATGATAAGAAATGGCATTATAAAAGATAAGAAATTTTAAAACTAGTTTAAAAAATTAAAAAAACTTTGTCACAAACAAACATGTGTAAAAGCATTAAATAACAAAAAAGTTTTGTTGAAATAATTAGTTGTATTAAAATAAATATCAATACAACTGATAAAAGTTAAAAAAGAATGGAAAAAGTTTTAAAAATTAAAGTAGACTTGGTTAATTAAATTTTCAGTTTAAAATGCTTTTTAAAAACTACAAAATTATAAAAACAGTACAAAAAAAAAAAAAAAATGGATTGTTTAAATTGAAATGAATAGTTTATTCAATTATTATAAGCTTTCTTAATAATTTTTACTTAAGTATAGTAAAATTGTTTTGTAATTGTTTTCTTACACCATAAATATATTCACTTAGTATCCACATAACTTGCTGTGATTTATTTAATTTACAAATACCTGATTATTTTAGGGTCTGGTACTACCTCTAAATATATATTTTAGTAAAAATTTTTTTAAATTCCAATATTATCATAATAAATGAAAAAATTAAGGGTATCAATATACCCTATATTTTTTAATTTATTAAAATAATACCTACCCTTTAGAATACCCTACATTCTTTTTTTGTTGTTAATGTTTTCAGTTAAGCTTAATTTTACTTGGTTTATATGAAACTGTTAAAAACAAAGAAAAAAACTTAGACTTTTCTTTCATTTTGATGTTTTTTCTGAAAATTTAAATTATTCTAACACCAAGGGGTCCTGAACTTATTTTTTTAGTTGTAAACTAATGGCATAAGCGTAATAAAATTTAGAGAAATTAGTCTCAATAAATTGCATCAATCGCCTGATACTTTGTTTAAAGTAGACAGATTATTAGAATATTCATATTAAAATAAAATAATACAACATAGAAATACTAAACAAAATTTTATTTCACGATGAGTCTGCAAAAAGCAAGATTTCATTCAGAAAATAGGAAATTGAACTTTGTTTCTGTTGTTTCAGTAAAAACATAAAAATATCTCTATTTAGGGAAATAGAACAAAAAATTAAAAATTAAAAAAAAAAAGAATAATAAAATAAGGAAAAGTAATATAATAAAGAAAAACAAGAAGAAGAGAAAAATGTCTAATACATGTGTTTTATTTTTTTTTTCTTGAAGATATTTCTTTATAAAAATTTTATTTAAGAATAGTCATTGATTAGACTTATTTGAAAACATAGAGGACCATCTAAAAATAATCTTTTAACTCCTTTAACTCAATCAATTGAAGTTTACTTTTGTTTAAAAAAGGTAACCAATTCCACATATTTATCAATCATCCAATTTAAATATGACATTACTTTAATAGAAATTATCAATCGCTTAAAAGCATTAAAGTCGGAAATTAAATAATCATGGCAGATCTGCATTTTTTATAGGGAAAATACGACGAATTACGAAAAAAATAGCGAAACTCTATAATCAGAAAAAAATCCCATTATCTATAGTTCACCTATCACCTATCACTATATCACCATTATACCGGGCAGGTACTGTTTATACATCTTATCTTGGATGTAAATAAGAAAAATTTAGGTTGTCTCGAAGTGCAACGAGAATCTATACTTTCGCCTTCTCTTTACAGTATTTACACTAAAAATCTTTTAGAGAAAATTTTTTCAGAATCCAAAATAGGAAATTCAAAAAATGGGGTATACACTAAAGTTTTCTAAAGATTTTATCTTCAACATCACCAACTTTTTAAAGCATTATAAAAAAGCTGTAGAAACTAAATTAATTTTAATACTTTATAAAAAAACTTATTTTTTAAATGTAACAAATATTTAGATAGATAATTTGGTTTTATTTTGTGTGTTTAAATTATAATAATAATAAATGTGACTTAGGTTAGATATATTTTTAAATATCAAAAATTACACAATAAAAATAAAAATAATGAAAAATAAATGCTTCGACAAAACACATAAAAAATTCCTTAAAAACTATACATTTAAAGTTTACCTTGGCCTCTGATCTCAACATCATTCTTGGACTATCTGTAAATACCTTTTTTACTTATTTTAAGCAATGTAAACTTTTTCCTTAATCTTAATTTGATAAGCAATGCAAAACCAAAAATTTTTTTTCTAAAATATAAAAGTATGATGGAAAATACTCATGTTGTTATTGCAATAGGCTGATGAATAAGGATCACTAGCAATTTAATTCAGAGACTTGATAATAAACCTCATATACAGATTCAACATTATGAAAATGTAACAATCAATGTCTTACATATGAAACTGACTGCAGAAACTATCAATATAATCATAAACCATCTGAATAGCATATTTATAAAAACAATGTAAAATTATTGATCTCCTTTCTTTCCCAATAAAAATCTGAAAAAGTTTATTGAAACTATAAAAAACTGTTAACAGACATGGCTATAATGGTAGTGATGGATCTAACAAAGCCAAAGTTTTAAGATCTATGGACATAATTCTTGAAAAAAAATTGTTTGAAAAACAAAAATTCTTAAAAAAAAAACAATTGACCAGACTACCAGTCTACATTTGATTAAGAGACAAGAATCTGTTAATACTACTATTTTTAGCAAGTTAATATTTGGTTAACTTTTGTTTGATTTAGTTGCTGAATTCTGTTTTGAGATGAAACTTTAAAGATCTTACAGAGAGGAAATAAATAAGTTTGCTTTGTACGTGCTTCAATTAAAAACAGATGTCAATGATGTATTCGTAAAGAAGATTTTACTTGGATGAAAGTTTCGCATTATCAGGTTTTATACCAAGAATCTAGGCAGAAGATCTTGCTTGGTGTTTACATCAGCAGGCCTTGTGATGAATAAAACCTGCGCGACGCATAAGCACGACGTGATTTTTGACGTCATTAAATTCTTTTTATATGCTTTTCATATTTATCGACATTAACTGCACCAATTTACTTAATTACCGCAAAACTACATTAAATCATTAATGTAGAAGTGTTATTATTTAAAAATGTTTTGAAATGTTTTGTTTTTTAAATTGTAAAAACATTTGTTTATTTTCTCGACGTTTGACAGGTTTTGTCTATACTAAACGAATGAAAAACATTATAACTAAACATTTTAAAAAGATTATAAAATATGCTAATATTTGATCTTTTTTTTCTCAAATATGTAATTTAAAGTTTTTCAAATAATTATTTTTTCTTTTTAAAAAGTCAGCGAGTAATAAACGGGAAATTTTAATATTGTGCGATTAAAAACTGTGCAATAGCTAATATTTTTACAAGCGATTTTATATAATATTTATTTATTTATTTTTATTTATTTTCATAAAGCGGTTGATAAGCACAATCACTCGTATTAATAAAAAACTTAAACGAACGTTATAATAGATTTTTAATGTTAACAAGGAATTTTATTTCTAGTAAAATAAAATAAAATGTTAGAATAAAAATCTTATAGGTGTAAAAGAAATATTTTCAGCGAAAAAATTATTCTTAAAAATTATTATTAAAAATTATTCGAAAAACTATTGACGTTCTATTGTTCTTGAGCACGCTTCATTGAGTTTCGGTAACTTTTAACATAAAAGCTATTATTTAAGTAATTTTTTTGAGTTATTTTTTACAAAAATTTTAATAACTGTACTTTTTTATTGAATCAAGTAAAATACGTTTTAATATTAATCCTTTTTTTTTTTTTATTTGCCCCCACCAATTTTTTATTTAATTCAAATTAAAAATTATTCGAAAAACTATTGACGTTCTATTTTTTAGCAGCTGTTCCTGGGCACGCTTAGTTGAGTTTCGGTAACTTTTAAAAAAGTGATTTTTATTATTTAAGTAATTTTTTTTTAATTACTTTTTACAAAAATTTTAATAGCTGTACTTTTTTATTGAATCAAGTAGAATACGTTTTAATATTATCCTTTTATTTTTTCTTATTTGCGCTTACCAATTTTTAAATGTTTCCTCTTAAATACTTTAAATACGTCTACCAGTTAATAAATATTTTTAAATCTATGGAATAATTTTAAAACCTAACAAACCCCAGTAAAATAATTATTTAAGTTAAAAATCTAAAACTAAAAAAAAGTATTTTTGTTCAATTTTATCGACAATTTTGCTATTGCTGAATTATTAAAATGTTAGCTTAAAAAGATTTAAACTTTTTTTTTAATCTGAATTTTTTCTACTTGTATATAATGAGCATATTTAATTTTTTTGTAATTCAAACTTTTATGTCAACTGCGTGCGGTATTTAAAATACTTTATTAAATGTTAAAATAATCAGAAATTACTTCATTAAAATTCCGCTCAAAAATATATTTAAATATCCTCAAACAAAAAATATTTTGCTCGACGCAAATAGCCCTAGCTACTCGCAAAATCGCTCTTGGACGACGTAAAATTCACATCGCCCGACGCTTTATCGCAAGGCCTGCATCAGTACAAACATATGTAGTAGTGCATAAAAACTTAAAAAGAGATACAGAACAGGTTGTTGTATCCAATAGAAATATCCATCACAGTGAATAGTTAAGAGCTATGTTGCTAAATACAACACAAAAAATTGTATTAAGAATTTACAACAGGGATGCAGAGTCCCAAAAAGGACTTTGAAAGTCACAAAAAGATTACTTCATCCTAGTTTTTGGTATCTAGGAGCTCTAAAAGTATAAATAAGTTTATCGACTACTAAGGGGTTGTCCATAAAGTACATACGCTTTTTTGTCGCAATCCCCCTCCCTCTGCAAGTTACCATACACTTTTTTGATTACTCTCAACCTCCCTAAAAGTATCTACGCGTTTAATCTTCCAACCCAATATTTTATGGTATTTTTTTTAATTTAGTGTCTCCATACTTTTATAAATGACCTACTGCCCCCTTATCTCAGAAATGCCATTTGTACACCCCTTCTTCCTCTCCGAGCGTACATACTTTATGGATGACCCCTAATAGGAAAAAAACAAGGATATTAGGCTTAGAGGAACAATCATTTTTTGATCCCAGAGTGCTTAGGTATAATAATGGCAAGGACTTCTGGACGGCGGGAATACTTTTTTTACAGACTTAGAAAAAGTAGAGATATAAAGCCGGAGTACATTTGGGACTACGAATCCCTGTTGTAAATTCTTATTACAATTTATTGTATTGTATAATACAATAAATTGTAATAAGAATTTACAACAGTAAAAAAATGTATAAAATATTTTGTATAAAATATTTTGCACGGATTTTTGATATGAAGGAAATAGCAACTATTATTTATAAATATGCCCTAAATTGCACTAATATAAATCTAAAAATATATATTTTTGTAGAACACAGCAATTGAAGCACAGGGACAGAAATAGTTATAAATAATACTGCATCGAATTGAAATTAAAAAAACAACTAAAAATTGAAATAATAATAAAAAAAAAACTAGAATCTAGTCTTTAATTAAAATTTGCTTTTAAATTTTATTATATAAGGCACTCAAATATTATATATCATGGTACTCAAAAAATAATGCCTCATAAAGTTTAGGATCACCTCATTTAATGTAAGTTTAGAATTTTTATTATATTTGAACCTGCTCAATAAAAAGTGGTTAATAAATCTAAAGTTACTTAAATCGAAAATATCTAAATTCATTGACATAGGTAGCTTAAAAGGTACTAGGTAACATAAAAATGCCACTGAATGAATTAAACAATTATTTTATGATAAACAGCTAACATGAAATTAGATACTTATTGAAAAATTTAATAGAAGTTACAAAATTAAAAATTTAAAAGAATTAAAAAGAAAAGTTTGATGTATATTATTCTAACAAAACTATAAAATAATTCTAAAATTAAAGTTTCAATATGTAAAAGGGATTTTTATACTAATAAAATATTAAAAAAAAAAAAAAAAAAAAAAAAAAGATTTAAAAACCTTAATCAAAACTTTGGTCCATTTTTATTTTTTATTTATGTTTTTATGTGATGTAATCATCAAGTGTTAATGTGAATTAAATTATACTGATAAAAATAAATTTTTTGCTTGTTTTTAAACTAATTTATTTTATTTGAAGAAATAAGAGAAGTTTTTGAAGCTCAATGTAGGTCCTACTATCAATGAATATTCAGTACACTTTTTTAATTAACTTTTTATAAACCAAATAACAAATTTACCTTTATTGGCAGAAAATCCGGAAAATATTTCTGGTGAATTTGAAGTCTCTAAATAATATAATAAAGTTCTCTTTACAAACAAAAACTTTTAATTACGTTTATATGTGGAGCTAATCCAAATAAATCTTTAACTTATAAAAACTTTTTTTACTGTTTTTATGTAAAAAATCATTTCTTTATAACTTTTTTTAGCTTTAAATTGTTTTGCCATTACTAAAATTTTAGATCCCATAAAAGTAATATATAACATGATGTTTTGTTATCAAATTTATATCCTTAAACATATTTTACATACATACATATAACATATATATGTAAAACTCTTAACTGCATCTTTGATAGTACTGCACTTAATTTGTTTTAACAAGTAGCAGTTTTCTATATACAAAATATAGCAGTTTTCTATATACAAAAAGTCATTGTATGCCAACCTTTAACTTAACCTTTTAATACCAGAAACACTAATTTATGGTAAAACACCAATTTATGGTAAAACATTTGAATAACTATGAGGGTGCAATTACTACCAACAAACGTGTTGGTTTTCGGTTTTTCAATAAAGTAACATTCAATACTGTAAATTATTTAGAAACTTAGAATAGCAAAATTTCTAACTTCTAGTTAGAAAGTGTGATATTTTCATGTACAACAGCGCAACTTGGCACCAGGCAAAACATGTCAGACATGACTCAAAGAAAATGCAACTGATGCAATTGCCATATGTTTTGGTAATTTATCAATTTTAAATCCTATCAATTGCTTACTTAATGAAACCATAAACAGAGGTTTCTAAACAAAACCCAACATCACTAGCAGAACAGAGAAAAACCATCATAAAAGTGAACATACAATATGTTTTAAACTAAAATTTTATTCTTTATTCTTCACATATATTATTTTTTTAATTAAAACAATTTCTAGTATTAAATGGATTCAGATATAACATGAAACTTGACAAACAAGGCTGATACGTGGAGAAATGAGTAAAGCATGACAGTACCAGAGTAAAAAATTTATGAAGAAGAAAGATTTATGAAGAGTTTTTTTTACATAAAAATAAGAACATTAGTTTTTATACATTCTGCATCTTATTTAGTTTCAGTTGAAAAATATTGTTTTAAATGTGTCTAGTCGTATAGTTGCTATAACATTTATACTCCTATGAAAACAATTTCATTGTCAATAATAAACTTAAACAACATATGGGTATTTTATGAATTACTATAATCATAATAACTAATTATAACTAATAAATAAAAGTCAGAAATTTCCCTCACAAAACCAATATAGAAATTAATTATAAAAAATATAAATATAAAAAATTACATTTTTTAATAACTGTAAATTTATTATCAGTTTAATATATCCAGCAAATATTGTTTTGGAGGAATTGCAGTAAAATTATATAAGTATTTTTGAGTGGTTTGTTGCAGTTTTGCTTAGCGGTTACTTGGTGGACCATTAGTGGCAGTCACTATAAATGACAAGCCACTAACTTTCTAACATATTAATAATATCTAGTTAACAACAAAACAAGTTCATAATTTTATAATAAAAATTATGAACTTGTTGCTCTTCTCTTTAGGGCAGGGGGCAAGATTTACAGGGTTTTTTTTAGCTGCCTGGCTCCAAATATTTCAATATTTTTACAAACCCTTCTTGTTTTGACACTTGTATAAACATATAGATGTTTGGAGTTTACTCTATGTTTATAATTTGGTATCTAAAACACCAAAAAACGTTTGATCCCCATCTGAGTTAAAACTTCTTTTGCAAAGTGATTGGTTAAAAAAGCGTATCAACCAAAAAAAGAACGCTTTTTGTTTTGTTTTCAATGGAATATATCTCATGCCCACCCAAAGTATTGATATCTTTTAAAATATCTTGAGTACCTTTTAAGTCAACCTAAAACCTCTAAATCGAAGCAGTGCCAAGGCCATGACAGCCGCTGCAGATGAGGGGGCTACTTTAAACCCACTTTCAACTCTGTAACTCCGAAACATGAACCTTGACAAACGAGGCGGCTGCGAGGAGAAACAAATTAATAAACCTAAATCACATACTTTAAAACAAAAATTTTACCAATTTTCATTTATCCCTAATTAGAAAAATGCTTTTATATAAAACCTTCCATAAAAGGTATAATTAATATATAAGTACACACAATCAAAAAGAATACTCAGAATAATCATAACATTGTTAAGTAAAGCTTTAACAGCATAGTATATTTATTTTATTTACAAACAACAAATATAAGTACTATTAAAATCATAATAAGATATAAATCAAATAAGATAGAGAATAATTTACAATTATCTACACATTTGATGGAGCTATTAAGGAGCTATTAAAATCTTAAACAAAAAATACAATTTTTTTTTTGTGACTAAATAAAAAATAATGCAAACAAACTTAATATGCTCAATTTAGATAAAAACAAAATTTTTTACTTAACTTGCCTCAAGTGTGCCCTGAATTTGAAAGCAAACAAGTGATTACATTAAAAACTATCTGTCAGACATCTTTTAAATAAATTTTCCCCATGAACCTTTGTTTTATAATTGAACAGTTTAAAGAGACAAACAAAAAAAGACAACAACCAACAAAAAAACATAACTATTACCAATACATTTGATAAAAATATGAAAATCTATCAAAATCTAAAACCAAAAATACTATTCTATTTTTGTGATTAAATGGAAAATAATGCAAACAAAGTTAATATGCTCATTTTAGAAGAAAACAAAACTCTTGGTATATTAAAAATTATGTACCACAGAAAATATTTTGTTAAATTTTGTGTCTTTTGTTAATTAACATATAAAAAAACTAGCTAAAACATATGTAACTATAAATTAGCATGAATACATAAATATCTTTCGAAACATGCATTAATCTTTAGCATTGATAGAGAGAAAAACTAAATAACACATGATCAAGTTTATTCAAATAGAAACCTTGATAATTGAAACAGCATTCAAAAATGCAGGCTGTTTAGTTTCATGTAATTCATAAAACACTAATACTTTTAATAAAGGAAAAAAAAAGTTACAAAAAGATGTTTATACATATCAATTATGTAATTGTGTAAATCAAATCTAATGTCCACATCATTAAAAAAATATGAATATCCAATATTAATTCCGCTAAGTTTTTAGTTGAATCATATTTGCTTCATATGTCTGAATTTGGAAGCAAACACGTAATTATTTAACAACTATGTCAGACATCTTTTAAATAACATTTGCTTCATATTGACCGGACATCTTTTCAGTAACGTTCCCTCATGACCCTATGTTTCAGAGTTACAGTTGGGAAGAGAAATACAGAAAAATGTGGACTTGTAAATATGCTAGCTAATGCTGTTATTAGTTTGGCAGTGATTATATTTTTACTAAAATATATAATCACTAAGATTAGTGAATAAGATTTGTGAAATTAAAAAGTTTTTTTATTTAAAGTTTGTTTAGTTTTATTCAGAAAACAAAAACATAAATTTTTAAACTTGATGTCTGATAAAAACAAATTTAACCATTAAAAAAAGTCTAAGGGTAAGAACATTCCTTAAATTTTTATACTTAATGAGACCAGCTTTAATAAATTAGGACACAGGGTATTTATATTTTTAATCATTCCACTTTCAATTAAATTTACTTTGAACTAATCAAAGTTTTTGGTACTTTCCTAACTGATATTTTGAATCATTTTGAATAAAAAATACAAGTTAAATAATATTTTAATTTTTATGTTTTCTTATAGATGCTATTTTTATAGAGAAAAAAGATACATAAACAAAAAACAACAACAATTTAATTTTGTTTAAATCTGTTTTTAATTTAATTACATTAAATACAATTAAAAAATAATTACTTGTGAATTCGTCTACTTTTCTTATTAGATCCATTCTATTCATTTTTTTTAAAGCTATTTTCAACTCATCAACTGTTGGATTGTCATTCATTTGCAACCATTTTGTTAACATTGAATATGCTTTTGCATTAATTTTTAAATTTTCTTGATCAATCATGTCTAAATAATTTTCTTCAATATTTAACCAACGCCCAAGAGTTCTCCAATCTACTCCAACACTATCACTAAACTTTAATTTAAAGGCTTGGCTAAAAACAGTGGTTTCATCTTTTTTGAGATGTGTAAAAAGTTGACCCATTTTGATGTTTCTACAAAAAAAGAAAAAAATCTATTATGATACCAGGATACATACAATATACTTACACATATATATGTAAATGTAAATGTGTATATATAATGTATATATAAACATAAGTATAATTTTTATCAATATTCAGTACTCAAATTAACGCAATAAAACATGTTATTTTACACATTTCCCAAAATATTTTTAAATTACACGAATCTGGATTTTGCAATCGTTTGGATATTTAGGTATATTACCAAAAGGAATTTTTGCAGTTTTGTAAAGTTTAAAAATATATTTTAATTACTTTTATTTTTTTTTAAATATTTTTTAATAAAAGTAAAACAATTTATTAATTTAAATTTTTTATAATTTAATTTTAATTTTAACTTTTGCAATCACTGGTTTAATGTTTGAAACTGAATGTTTATACTTTGAAACTAACTTCAAGTAGCAAAATATAACTATTTAAAACAATCTAAATAAAAATATAACTATTCAAAACAATATAAATAAAAAAAAAATAAGAAATTAACCTCACTAACACTGTCTTAAATCTGACATTGTTACTGTTGCTGGATATACATTTAACTTTCAGCAACGAAATTATTGCTATGCTGGGTATTGCGGACTGGGTATTAAGGACATCATTGAATTAAATTTATAACTATTAAGCGTTAAAATTGTTATAAATTTTGCAAATTTTTTTTTCAACTTCAAATTTCAATTGGAAAATTATTAGAATAAGAGAATTTTAGAAGACAATAATTCTTATGTTCAAATAGATATCTTTTTAAATAAAATTCCTCAAAAACAAACTTGCGTATTCATAGAAAATGCTTGATCTTATCGCTTTTAAAAAATTTCATATTTTTATATTCTATTCGAGATTTCTTGTTAAAATAGTTTAGAAGCTTATATTATGTGTTATATATAAGATATAAATATTGGCTTCCACAAAGATATTTAAAGTAATTTAAATTAAAAAGCGCTTTATGTTGAATTAAATCTCTGATCAAGAGAGCAAAGATTTTGGTTTTATTCAAAAAAAAAAATTTAGCTGTTTTTTTTATAAAAAATATCTGGGTTATTTTAATATTCTATTTTAACTTTATTTAAAGTATATTTTATATAATTTTATTTAATTTACTTCAAATTTGAACTTAAAATTCAAATGAACTAACTTAGTTCTCCACGCAGCAATCTTGTTTATAAAGATTAGGGTGGTTCGATAAACAACTTTTTTTTAAATAGTCTGCTGCTCTTAACTAAATGTGTTCTATGTGTTCTATATAATACAAAAACACTAGGTTTTCTAAATAAAATTTTAGGGGTGCTGCAAGACCTTAAAAAATTTGGCAGGTTCCTAATATTTATTACCATTTCATTATTTATATCATTTTAAAGGCTTATTAAATCATTCATATTTTTTATACTATTTATTATTTTACTACCATCAGCAAAAAGTTTAATAGGGTTTTGACTTGATCTGGCAAATCATTAATGAAAATCAATAACAGCAGTGGTCCTAAAACTGATCCCTGTGGTACACTACTGATAACTGGTAGCCAATTTGAGACAGTGTCACTGAGGACCACTCTCTGTTTTCTGTTTAAAAGTTTTTATCCAACTTAGGTATCTTTTTATGATAGCATATGATTGAAGTTCAGCGATCAAATAAAAGTGGAGTACTTTATCAAAAGTTTAGCAAGTGGAAAAATCCACTAATTACAGAATATTTATTAAGAAACTATAGTGCAGAAAAAACTAAATTTTTTAATAAAGACAAGGGAAAAAAATATTAGCAACACACATTTCTATGACAAAATTTTAATTTGAAACTTTAAATAATTTAAAATCTTTAGCTAAATATAATGATTTAAATTTATATAGCAAGGATGATTAAATAATGATGAATAAAAATCATATCAAATAAAATGAAATAAATCAAAAAATAGATATAAAACAATAACTTACTAAATAAATTGTGAAGTAAGCCTGGATCTAGCCTGCAAAACCAATACTTAGGTGACACCAGTTACTAAAGTTATAATTATAAGCCAAAAACACAACATTAAATTAGTTCCTTATTGATTAAACTTTTGAACAAATTGCAGTTTTTGCTAAAAATGTAAATGAAAATTATGATTTATTTATATATTAGGTAAATACAACAACAACAACAAGCTATTTATTAAAATCATAATAATTACAATTATAATAGTAATAATAACAATAATATATATTAATAATATAAGATAATAAAATTAATACAAATTACATTAAAAGTAGTAATAAGAATGTTTACAAAATTACAATGAAATAATAATAATAAATATTATAATGTTAGTTATAAGCATAAAGTTATTTGTAATAATAAATTGATTATTTATTAAGATGGTGTCACTCCTACGGAAATCTGATCAAAGGAGTGACACCAATTTTTTTTTTATTGCCAACTTATTTCTGAGTAAAGTTAAGAAGGGTAACTAGATCATATGGGCATTATGGTAAACTTTTCAAAAACTGTATTTTAGTTAAGCGAAAGAATATTTACTTTTATTTTTTACTGCAAACTTATTTTTAAGTGAGTTATAATTAGTTTTTAAAAGCATATACTTTTTAAGTATATTGTATTTATTTAAAGTAAAAATAAAAGTGTGGATGTCATGACATATTTGACATTTTATAAATTGTCAAATGCACTTTCTTAAAAAAAGAGATCATACTTTAGTTATCAAACAGAAATTTGACATTTCAAACATTATTTTCAGCCATGCTGGAAATAAATATTTTTTAATATACTTGTTCTAATTGCCATCCTTAATGATTATTTTAATGATTAATTTTTTTTAAACTTTACACTGTCTTGACGCTATATGAAACTTTTAATATTAAGGAGAAAGTATTTAACTTAGTACAATAAAATGTTGTATGTTATATGGAAAAAAAATCTTTAACTTTAGAATATTATTTTATTTCAATAGAAAAATTTGAAAGTAAATTAAAAGTGGTCTTAAACCGGTCTTAAGTGGCCTTTTTTTCAGCCTGTGTATATTTATATTATGATTTATTTATAATATTTTAATATTATTTAGGATACAAAAGTATATAGAGTTAAAACTTTAAACTAAAGACTTATAAATTATAACATAATTATTATTATAATAAAATATAAGCATATAGAGTATATAGAGTTATAACTTATAACAAAGCTTATAATATAAACTCTGTTACCAAAACGAATTTTTTTAATTATATTTTAACAATGATATTATCAACAAGTAAAAAAAATTAAATAATTAAACTTACAACTATCCAAATTTTATAATACTTTAATATTAAAAGCTAGCACACTTGTAAGCTCATTTTTTTTTTAATGCCAAATGGAAAAGATGAAATCTTTAAGGAGAATTTATTACATAATCACATTTATCATTGGTCTTTAAAACAATAGCACACACCCATTTACTGAGAGCCTTCTCATTTTACTTCAGAGCCTTCTCATTTTACTCAAGTTACACTTTAGCTGCGATTTGTATCGGATCTAATTGTAAATTCCAGGTAAATTTAAGAGAAAATAACTTTTAGGTTCTAAATTAAATGTGTTTAAAACTTGTATTCTCTCGCGATGATATGAAAGTTGTTAATTTTTGAAGTAAGCAGGCTAGAAAGAAAATTTTACATGTTACTAAATACCTCCTTTCTTCAAAAATTTATATATTGTTCGTATTATTGCGACGGAATACGAATATAGTACGTATAATTTTAATTGGGTTACAATTTTAGTTACTCTATTTTAGTTTACTTTATTTGGGTTATTTTTTAGTTGGGTTACAACAATTAGGGTAGACGATATTTCGTCTGACTTTTTTCTGAGAAATTTGGGAAGTTAGACGTGATAACTTTGGTTATTGCGTTCATGCATTTAAAATCCACCGCAGCAACTATGTTTCTGCGGCTTAACTCTGATGTTAGAAAAAACAATAGAATATTGCGTTGTTTTAGGAATATAGGTGTCGTCCATAAATTACGCAACGCCAAATTTTTTTAAAGAACAGAAATAAGATATTTTAGGCTCTAATACTTATAATAGTTTTCATTTAATTTAATGGGCTATTTAATTTTTTATTGAAAATAAGATTCTGAGAGAAAAAACTTTTGATCATTTTTTGTTTTGTTTATTGTGTAAGTTTGCGTTATGTAGTTTATGGACGATCTCTTATGGTTTAGTTTTTAGCATTCTTTAAAGACGTTAGGTTTTTTTTATTTTTGTTTTTTGTTTTTGTTTTTTTTTAAACATCTTCGCTTCCAACAAGGCTGCAAGCAACCCCTAATAAGTATTGGAAGTTACTGGAAGATAAAAGATGAAGATTTTAGAGCAAGATAACGACTGACAGACGACTTAAAAGATTGCAAATTATATGAATCAGGAAAACAAGCGAAATTCAAAGAACTGATATTCGAGGAAAAAAGCTAGACGAATAAATGTTTTTCGAGCACTTAGGAACAGTAACGAAAAAAGGATGAGACAACTGAACGACGAGTAACGAGGGTGAATTTTAATAGTTGGTACAAGAAACGTTAGCTGTTTGAAGCAGTACCCATTATTGTATTTGTAGAAAAGAGAAAGAGAATTTATTAGAACATTACGACGCTGTAATAATGGTTAAAATTTGGCTGCAAGAGCAGGTCCAACTATGCTTACAATACGTTTTTGTATCTTGTCTAAAATAGACAGGGTATGATTAAAAGATCCGCCGCAGATATGGCAACAATTTTCCATACAAGACTGGATTTGAGATTTATAAAGGTAGAGAATAGAATACAGAGTAAGAAAGTGTCGAGCTCGATAAAGAGATGCAATTTTAACAGATGGTAATTTTGAAGCGGATTTGATATATGGTTTCCAAGACAAATCAGAAGTAAGAGTTAATCCAAGTAGATGAAGGATAGATGATTCATCGAGTACATAACCGTTCATCAATATGAAAAGGATTAAATTATTACGATAACGATTGGCTGAAAAAAATTGAGTTTTATCTAAATTAAAGTTCACCAGCCACTGTGAGCCCATGCTGTAGCAGATGTGACATCAAGCTCAAATGCCCCCTCCAAGTATTCAGAGAGTGTTGGCTTCTTATCATGACAAGAATAAATGCTAGTATCATCAGTGAACAATTCCACCTTAGATGTGAGAATATGTGATATATAATATAGAAGATTGTTAATGTAAATTAAAAAGAGTATAGTGTCAAGGATTGAACCTTGAGAAACCCTTGAGGTGACAGAATAAGAAGAATAGTGCTGTCCATCAAGAACAACTTTTATACTACGATTAGAAAGGAAGGATTTAATAATCGTAAAGATGTTTTTGGATACAACATAAGAAGAAAGTTTATGGAGAAGACCAGCATGCCAAACTTTATCAAACTCTTTAGAAATGTCAAAAGCAATGACGTTAATCTCTCTACCTTTATCTAATGCACGATAAAACCTATCGGGTATTACTGTTAGTATCTCAGCCGTAGAACGAGATAATCAAAATCCATATTGATGATCAGAAAGTAAGTTATTAAATTCATGATGAGAGATTAAGTATTTGTTGATTAAAGATACACCATTTAACTTGGTGTTGATAAAATATACACCATTTAACTTGTATGAAACTGTTGACAATTTTGAAGCACTCTAATAAATCACCTCTTATCTTCAAAAACCTTGCTTAAGATAGGAAGAAGACTAATGGGAAGGTAGTAAGACGATTCAGATCGCTCTCCAGAATTTTTAAAAATAGGGATAACAGATACCAAATATAGGGGCCAAATATATAATAAAATATATAAATAAAAATATATAAATAAAAATATAAATATATAAATAAAATATATAAATAAAAAATAGGGGCTAAATATATGGAATAGATATCAAAAAGGATCCAAATGTATGGCAAAGTCATTCAGTTCATTTAAGTTTCTGATAAAAAAAGAAATTTTTAAAATTTGATTATTATTTGTGCTTAAAAGGATTACAAAGTAATTTTCTTTATAATCTTATTTATTTGTTTTTATTGATCAGAGCAGCAGTTTTATGCCCATTAGGGTTTTTAATTTAATTTAATATCTATAATCTAATGAAAATGTATATAGGGGGCTCTATGAAAAGATTGCTTTGAGCCCCTGTCTGTTTAACTCTTTATTTTATAAAGATCATTGTAAAAAAGTATAGTTTATTTTATATACTGTATATACAAAAACGGTGCTTGTTGACAAGATTTTACTGTCTTCTTTGTTATACGGACATATTTCTTTCTTTCTTGTATATATGTGTTGATTATATTTGTTAAACAGCAAAAAAAAAAAAAAAAAAAAAAAAAAAAAAGATACTGCTCTCCCGCGGGCTGGAAAACAAGACTCTGATAAGCACTTGTTAAATAGTTTTGAAAGGATAGACAACAGCTCCGGAGAACACTTCTGCAAGACAGGTATGTTATCCGGGCCACAAGCTGTAAAAGAGTCTAAGCAGGAAATCACTTTAGATACAGAAGTTCTATTTAGGTTTTTATAGTAGCATCATAATTGAAAAAAAAAATTAGAGGAGGAAACAATTTTCTTTTTATTCAGACATTTTATATAATAATAATAAAAAAAATACTTACAATAATAAAAATAACAACAACAATAATAAGAAAAATAATAATAATAGCGGAAATAATAATAAAAATAATAACAATAGCAATAATAACAATAATAATAATAATTATAAAAACTTTTTATTACTGAAGTTTAACTAAAATAATATAAATTTTCATGATGTTAAACGAGAGCGTGTAATAAGCACGCTCTATTTCAGCTGGTGACTTTATTGGATAAGGCGGGCTGAATTCGTCACGGAGCGAATTCGTCACTTATGCGACTCAGCTTTAACATAATAATGCATATAAACTAAGAAATCTATTTACTCGATTTTTTTGAAACTTTTTCAACTGATATTTGTAGAATATTATTAAATAAGTGTGTTCTATATCTTCCTTTGATTATCCTTAAAATATTTCGAGTAAACATCGAAGTTAAAAAAATATTTTTCTGTTTAAATGCTTATCGTCAAAAAAATAATCAAAATACGCGGTGTTTTGACCACGTAACCAAAGTATATTTTTTTGATAGATCGATATCAATATTTTTAAAATAACAATTTAAGTTGCCAAGTTTTTTCTTTGGAATCTTCACGTAATAATTGTTGTCGCATGCTCAAATGAGGGGCAACTTCGTTGTTAAAGAAAAGATAAATTAGGTTCTTTAATCACGCAAACTTTTAAACTTTAGAGCGACGTTTAAAAGAAAGTAAAGTCGTGCTAAAAATTTACTTCAAAGCTTCAGATTTTATATATATATATATAGGCTTCTCAGAATATATTAGTTTACAGTTAGTTTTTAAAACTTCTTCAAGTTTTAACTACGAACTCTGATGAAACACATGTAAAGACACATGTAAACAAGCTTATTATAATGTATAGTCTAAAATGTATATATAGTAAATAATAAGTATGTAAAACTTGATTTATAATTGCGATGAAAGCGGCTTTTAATCTGAAGCAAGTGGTTTCGTGTAACTGGCTCTCGTGAGGTACAAAAAGTTAACTATTGGTTCACATAACTATTCCACTTAATGTGGCATAATTCTTAAATAAATACGTGCTAAATTTGATGTGGCTATCATATGGACCATATATATTAAACTCACGATCTTGACTCATTTTGAATTTTAAATTTCAACCAATTGTAATAGTTCTATCGCAATCCATTGTACACTCTAGCACATTAACAACATACCTGTGGCACACTAACAACATACCTGGCCACTGTCAATGCAGCAGGGGAAAGTTGACCACCATTTTTTCATATTTAAACAAACAAAGATTCTAGATGCATCTAAATTTTCTTTGGGTACACAAGTACATTGAGTAAAAACGAATATATTGATTAAAAGATGTTTGTTGACTTTTTTTACATCATTTTAATAAGTTCATTCCCATTTGCATTCCCTAAGAAATACAGTGAAATACAATAAAAAATATGGTCAGTGTTGAACGGAAGTCAAAATAAATAAAAAATAAATCAATCAAAACAAAAATAAAGAAGACTCATTTTTCAGCTAATTCTGATCACCCAAGTTCATCTAGTGGTTTTATTCTCAAAAATAACACTGATAAAGACTTTTGTTGTGTTTGTGTAGTTTGGGGAGAAGCAAACGAAGATTGGCTTAAATATTTAAGTTGATATGTGACGGATGTTTTGGAGTTGATACATGTGGAAAATGTGTGCAAAGGACATATAAACGTCTGGTAAGTTTTTGAATAGTCATAGCGATATAATTTTTGTTGTTTCTTTAACGTGTTATTTTGTGTGCTAGCGCGATTAGACGGTTTTCATTTATGCCAAAATCATTATTTGATATTTTCTAGAAAAAGTTTAACAAATGACATCCTTTAAGATGTTTTAGAAATCAAGAAACTCTATCTTGTCGTTATCTGAGGGTAATTCCATCTGTAGTTATCTGTATGCTATTAGTAGTTCTATCTACATCACTTAGGGGATTACTGTTCAGATTACGGAAATCATCCCACTATTACTCCAAGAATAATGCTTTATATCAAAGTTTTTTTTCTCCTAGGTTTAGCT